TGTCGGGCTCGGCGAAGGTGTGTCCGAGGGCGCCCAAGAACGACAGGCAGAAGGCGGTGCTCGGCTGCCTCAAGCGAGGGCTGCAGCCAGCAGGGCAGGGCGGCATCGGCGACCCTGAGCCCCTGCGACGCCTTCGCAGGCGAGTGGACGGCTAGACTCTCTTGCCCAATTCGGGCCTGAACCATGTGCGCAGGCGCGCTCACGCACGGGATCGGGCCCGATACCGTCGGCTATGCAACAAGTCCCTTGCGGGGCCAGGTGCCTGGAGGACAGTAGCGTTGCTGACGGTCAGGTCGCCAGTCGCTGCATTCGGCGGTCTCTCACCGCGGGCATGGCCTACGCTCGGTGCGCGCGCGTGCAGCTGCCGCTTTAGCAACGGAAGCTGAACCAGGTGTGTAGGTTCGCTCACACACGGGATCGGGCTCCGACTCTTTTGCAGCATGGCTCTGTGCTCGGTGCTGCCCTTTTTAGCCGCTGCGGCTGCCGTGCAGCAAGCTTCAGAGGAGGCTGACCCAGGTGCGTAGGTCCGCCCACGCACGGGATCGGGCTCCGCCCATCGGAAATGCAATAGTCCAGTGTGTGGCCTGGGGCCGAAGGGACACGTTGCTCAGCTGATGGGTCATGCGGTGCTGCACTTGTCCTGTCTTTTGCGGCACGCCCCGTGCCCTTTTCTCGTGCCTCCTTCCCTTTTCAGTTTCGTCCTGTTCAGCGGTGCTGGTGCTTCGCAGCCAGCCCTGGAACTCGGGCCGTGGGGTTCCGCCAGACGGGTGTTCCGTGCACTGCCGCTGCCGACCTCTGGCGGTGCTGGTGTCTCGCAGCCAGCCCTGGAACTCGGGGCCTTGGGGCTCCGCCGGTCGGGAACTGGTGCACTTGTCCACTGGGGGGGAGGGAGCGGCACGGAGGCGGCCTGGGTTTGCCAGGCCGTTTTGACCGCTGCCACGTTTCACCATCGGCACCCCCTCGAGGGGGAAGCGGTGGATTTTTTTTGAGGATGTTCTGTTTCCTCTGAACATATCTCGATGCGATCGCAGCGCTTGATTGCGCGACCTGACAAGCTGGAGTGTCGACCTGACGTTTCCCTCCCCACCCCTGCTTCTGCCTGCCGGACAGCCACTTGCACCGGCCCAGGGGGGCGCCGACCCTGCCGCATCCTGCGCGACGCCACTCTGCGCGCCTCGGGAGGTGCGCGTTGGGGGCTGGGTCGGGGCGCTGGGTCCGAGGCCCTCACAGGGAGGCCCCTTTGCTCGGCGAGTGTGCACGCCTCCTGCGCAACGTTGACTACCTACCAGACCACCCCAACCCAACCCGAAGACCCGAATTTCGGGTTGGGGGGGGGTACGGGTTCCATACGTGTTTTTTCGATGTTCCCCGACCCCCCCCAACTGGAAATGGAGGGCAAATTGAGGCCTTCGGGATGGGTTGGGGTGGTCTGGTGGGTGGTGAATGTAGCTTCTGGCGCTACCGCGTCAGTGCCCTGCCCGTCGCTCGACGTGGAGGGCGACCCGAGAGCGCAGGTTCGCCCACGCTCTGGTTCGATCTCCGCAGGCCTGGGGAGCAGCGTCGGTCAGCTGCGGCCTGTTCCTGTCGACCCAGTTGTTTCTCGGGTGCGGCGTGCAGCCCAGCTGTGCACCAGCCTGCTAGACCGCCAGCCTGGCCTTCGCCAGCTGCCGAGCGTGCTGAGTCGCTTCGACTGCTTGGATCGGTCACCCGCTTGCCTCGGCTGAGGCAATTGATCGCTCACGGCACTCGGGCGATCTGCGTGTGTGTGTGTGCTGAGGCGCACGAGACCGAGCGTTGCCTCCGCAGGGCCATAGGGAAACGCCTCGGTCCGAGGGGCAGTTCGAGCTAGGAGCTCCTGACCCCTTCAGACGCGGGGATCATCATCATCATCATCATCATCATCATCATCATCATCATCATCATCATCATCATCACCATCGCCATCGTGAGCATCATCATCATCATCATCATCATCATCATCATCATCATCATCATCATCATCATCATCATCATCATCATCATCGCCATCGCCATCGCCATCAACATCATCAGCATTCATTATCAGCATCATCATCATCATCATCATCATCAGCAGCAGCAGCATCAGCATCATCATCATTATCCACCTCTTCCTTTCCCGCTTCTCCTCCTTGATCCTCCCCGAATTTTCTCGACGGTCCTCGATTATCCTCCTTCTCATCCTCTTCCTCCTCGTCCTCCTCCTCCTCCTCCTTCTCCTCCTCCTCCTCCTCCCTCTCTTCCTCCTCCACTCTGGATGAAGAAGAGCAGGGGGAAAGGGGAACAGCGACGAGGAAGGAGGGATGATGACTAGGACGACGACGGAGGTGTGGGACGGCGGAGGCATGCTGGAAGGCGGGGAAGACGCCCATGGAGGCGACGGCCCCCAGATTGCCCGTGAGCCAGAAATGCGGCCGCCGCCGCCGTGTCATCGTCGTCGTATTGGCCGGTCGTCTTGGTCGTCGTCGGCGGCGGCGGCGGCATCGGCGTCGGCGTCGGCGTCGTCGTCGTTGGCGTCGGCGTCGGCGTCGGCGTCAGCGACGGCGTCGTCGTCGGCGTCGGCGTCGGCGTCGGCGTCGGCAACGGCGTCGTCGTCGTCGTCGGCGTCGGCGTCGGCCCGCACTTCCAACCCGAGGCAGGGGGAGGAGGAGGAGGAGGAG